GGTAGTAACTGTGTTCCACAGGATATATCGCTTGTGTGAGATCAGACGATATCCTAGGTGATATCGTTTTGGCAGTAGATTTTGCACAATGCCCTGGCAATGCTATGGCGTCATGAACTTGATCACGTCACAATGCTATGACATCGCTGCACTGCAAATCTAATGGCAGTACTGTGTTCAGAGATGTACATTTATCATTAAAAAATTAATGAAGAGTGATTTTTGATGATAAATAGAATCTCACCCTCGTGTCTTCTGATATCAAACGGGTTCGAATCCCCACATGGGCACAATGTATGAAGCCCATTTCTGGTGTCCCCTGCCGTGATGTTGCTAGAATATTGCTAAAAGCGACGTATAACACAACTCAGTCAGTCTGACATCAAATATATCAACTCTCGTTGATAAAAGTAAAAATATCCTCGGCAAGCCTCGGACATTTGTTACTTTTTCAACTCTAGGTGATATATTAGATATCAAAAGACACTCAGGTGAGATTCTCTATTTACTCCACACTCAGCAATATTCCATAATGTCAGCTGCGTTATTTATCAGCATTCCCATGTCAATCTGCACACCGAACGCTTAACACCAGAAAAGGCATAGTGAGACAAGGGGTAGGCTTGTTGCCGATATGGTGAAAATACATATCATCTGGGATTGAAAGACTGTGGTGTAATATAAGAAAATAAGAAAAACATTTCCCATTCTGCGAAACCCTAATATCTAAGGTCTATATGTTTTCCTGTAAATGCTTTAAAATCAATAAAGGCTGGTTACTGTAAAATAAATGTCTATGCCAAACGGTTGTGACAGGCATTTTATGTAAAAAGGACCAACTGGGCAGGCGATTATCTATCATTCTCTTAAATAGCAGATCGAAATTCACAGTATAAAATTCACCAAAACCATTGGTTTTTTTACAGATGACCAAAAACTTGTCCAAAGATCTCGACTCCGGTGTCTCTCATTTCGAATGTGACAGGAAACATCGTAAAAAAAAAAGAGAAGCAAAAACAACAACACTCTTGCTAATGTAATTAAATATAAACCTTTGAACATCCGGGTCTTCAGCAACTACCGTGATCGATTTGATTCGATTCCTTTATTACCTGTATCTGTACAGATCATTGGTATGTCAAATAGCGGTATTGGTACAGGTTTGGGTTTTTTTAAAAGACGGCGACAATGGACATATAAAGGACGATGTGCAATTACTGCACTCTAATTAACTCATTTCTTAAATAATAATAATAATAATGGATATTTTTAGCGCGCCATTTTCCACCCACTGATACATGCTCAAGGCGCTACATAAAAGCATACATACAATGCATACAGAGGATAAAATAGCAAAATAAGTATACATTGAAATTGATGACAGAAAGATTGATTTTAGGGATAGGCTTTGGAAAAAAAGAAAGTCTTCAACTTAATTTTGAAAGTTTCCAATGTGGGAGACTGCTTTATGTGGAGAGGGAGAGAATTCCACAGAGTAGGACCAGCGTACTGGAAAGACCTCTTGCCAAAAGAAGAAAGGAGAACTTTGGGAACGGAGAGAAGACATTGGTCTTGAGATCTGAGAGTTCTGGTTGGGGAGTACACAGTGAGAAGTTCAGAGAGATATGAAGGAGCTTGATTATGCAAACATTTATACACAATGCAAAGAAGTTTGAAGTGAATCCGGAACTTGATTGGAAGCCAGTGTAATGATGAGAGTACAGGGGTGATATGGTCTCGTTTAGTGGTAAGGGATATAATACGTGCTGCTGTATTTTGGACTTTTTGTAGTTTATTGAGATGTCCGTTGGTGAGACCGTATAGAAGGCTATTACAGTAATCCAATCTGGATGTTACAAGGCATCTCACAAGAGTGTGGGCACTTTCCATTGTGATGTGCTTCCTAATCGTCCCAATGAGTCTGAGGTGGTAATAGCAGGTATGACACAACTTATCTACATGCGAATCTAGAGACAGGCCCGAATCAATATAAGCACCAAGATCTTTTATCAAAGCTGACGGTGTGATGTTAGCTGAACCAATCTTCACACTATCGATGTTAAATTTCTCCAAGCTCTTTGGTTTCCCAACAAGGAGAACCTCTGTTTTAGTGTCATTCAGTATTAGTTTTCTGCCCGTCATCCATGTCTTGATTTCCAGAGTACAATTCTCAATCTCTTTCAACGTTGATTGGGCATTATTTGGTCTGAACTTTGTCAGGAGTTGGTTGTCATCTGCATAGGAAAAGTGTGGTATTAAAAATTTGTCACTGATCAGAGAGAGTTGGTTGATGTAAATCAGGAAGAGCACTGGGCCTAGAACAGATCCCTGTGGAACTCCACATGACAGAGTAATCTTCTGTGAGATGCTGCCCAACACTGTGACTGACTGGTGTCTAGCAGACAGGTATGAAGAGAACCAGGCCAGTGCTTGTCCGCCGATTCCAGAGTGATTTTCAAGAGTATGGAGAAGAATCTTGTGGTCCACAGTGTCAAATGCCGCACTCAGATCTAAGAGTGTCAGAATTGCCACGTCACCTCTATCAACCAGGCATCTTAGGTCATTTACCACTCTAAGAAGGAGAGTTTCGGTAGAGTGGTGTGGACGGTAAGCTGATTGGTACTCATCTAAGATGCTGTTGCTTGACAAGTGACCCATCAACCTCTTGGTAGCTGCTCTCTCGATAAGTTTGGAGAGAAAAGTCAGATTAGAAACGGGGCGGTAGTTTTTAAAGTCATTTTTGTCAAGTTTTGCATTTTTAACTAGTGGCATGATAACAGCATCTTTTAGCATATGTGGAAAGATCCCAGATGACAGACTCTTGTTGATGATTTCCGTTAATGTCGGCCCTCATCTTAATATACTAACCGTATATAAATATTTGCCTTAGTTACATAATACTCTAACATTGTTAATGCTAAGAAGTTGAATAAGCTAAAATACCGATGGACATTTGTAATAATATGGTTTGATATACATTATTCTATAATTTTAATATGATACTACTGTCAGACACAAGAAGCTTACACCAGTATTTAGTCATATTATATTGTCTCTTAAATAAAAGCGGCTAACGACCTAACTCTGCGTAAACCATCAAATTACTAGTTGATTTCTTAACTCCTAACAAAGAACCTTTTCAAAAATCCAAATGATACCTTTCAACATTTAATCCCTTATTGTAGCCCAATCTCAGACGTATAAGATGATATTCTGCCGACATAACAATCAAAGACAAAGAGCAGAAATTCCGGATTAACAGAGAGCGAACTGGTATTGTTGTAAATGGAACAAAGGGCCTTTCTATCCTGATCAGACAACTGCATCTGAGCCTTTGAAAATCGGTTATTATAATTAAAGACTATTCCTAAGTAAGTAAACGCATCAGCAACCTCTAGGACACTGCCATTATAACATCAATGTTCTGAAGAATTAACTTTACCACCTCTTCTAAAAAAACATTTGTTTTAGCAATGTTCACTTCAAGTTCCCAGCGATTTGAATTAAGCCAACAACGAATTTAACTGTGTTTTCAACCCTTCAACAGATTTAGAAAATATGACAAGATCATCAGCGTACATAAGCAGAAATATACTTAAAGATTTAAACTCGTAAGGTATACATTTTTCTTTTAGAACAGATTCTTCAAAATCACTTACATAAAAAGAAAACAAAATTGGCGACAATACATCTCCCTACATTAGGCCAAAACTATATCTGAAATACTGACTATCATAACCACCGATCCTCACACATGACCTTACATTAAGATACAACAAATGAATAACTGACAATTGCTTCCCTCTAACACCTAATTTTGCTAACTTATACCATAATTTACACCTATCTATTTAACCAAAAGCACGTTTGAAATCCACAAATGCGCAATATAACCGTTTAATACCATTCACAGTACGACTAATCAATGAATGGAGCGAAAATATAGCATCAACTGTACCAAGATTAGGACGAAAACTAAACTGAGCATTCGAAACAGTTGTGTGTTCCTCTGCCCAGTAAAGAAGCCTCTGAATAAAAATCCCGGTCAACAACTTTCCAAAACAACTTATGATACTTATTCCTCTATAATTACAGGGAATACTGGCATCACCTTTCTACTACACCAGTCGACTGCCGGGATCGAGTGGTCAGGCTCACTGACTTGATTGACACATGTCATCGTATCTCAAATGGGTAGATCGATTTTCATGCTGATGATCACTGGATTGTTAGGTCCAGACTAGATTATTTAAAGACCGCTGCCATGTAGCTTGAATATTTCTGGGTACGGTATTAAACAACAAACCAACCAACCAACCAACCAACCAAACATGGAACATATGTTCAGATAATACAACATGTTCTGTGAATATAAAATTTCAATTTAGTTATTGTTATGCTTTTGTACTCCAATTTCAGATATATTCGGAATCTGATCATGTTTGCTTATCCAGAAGTAGACGTTCGAGTAGGGCTTACGTGACATTGTTTGCTTTTGCAGTCTGTATCAAACCATGGTTTGCGTATGTGTGGGTTTGCAGAGGACTTAGAAATGGTATTGTCCCCCATGGCATTTAAGACGACTGAAATAGTTCGATGGGATCAGGAACATTCCTGAAATTGTCAGGCTTACGGTTTTCATAGCATAGGGTTTAGAAAAATGGCCAATTGGCCTTAGTAAAATTCCACCTTGTTAAAGGTGGTTCATCCGCGCGAGTTGACATGAGAAAGAATCGTTTGGATGTTATCAGTTCCACACAGATCGGTGGGAGGCAGATGTGTTGACAGATTGCTTGATTTACCATGACAGATACATTGATACAACAATATAAACACCTGCCTTGTCATTATCACTCACACCCACCCACGTGAGAACGCCAGAAGTTACCAATCAGGAAGAAGTCTTTGTCCAGCAAAATAATTGATTAGGTATGTTTGATTGCTAACACCTTTTTCATGTACAATTCCTGAAAATTGTGTAACAGCTGTATTTACGCCGGATCTAGCATTTCCTGCTGCAAGACATAAAAGCCGGGTTTTCGAACCCTCAGCGGACGCGACGTTATGTGCTGCTGAATCGACGACCATGCAACTTGAGATCCTGTCTGCCCTGGTGTGCTCTGTGGTGACCGTGAATGCAGGTAAATATATTTTCTTCATTCCACACAATTTCATTCCTAAAGGACCATGGTATACATGTCATCCATGTTTAGTGTATGACAAACACTTTACTCAGTTTAAACACGGAGTAGTTACAATGTCCCTTTATCACCTACACATCTCAACTGTCCCAGTGGACAAAACAGCTGGCATTGAGTGTGGTTGTAGTCATGACGATATCTGGTGGAACCCTGTCGACCACCAGTATGTCACATGATGGCTCACCCTCACGCCATGTCCAGCTCATCATTTTCAGGCTGACCCCTACGATGTCTGAAACGTGACTTTATGTTGACTCGACCGATGCATCTGTTTAATTGTCAAGGAGGCATACGTGCATTCCGTTGTTGTGACACTGAGTGTGTCATGACCTCTGCCTGCAAATGCAAACTTCTTCTTGCAGTGTGGTGGAACACTGTCGACCACCAGCATGTTACATGACCCAAACGTCACGCCCAGGACATCACCACAGATGTCTGCAACATGTAGCGTGATAGCTGATCCAGTCTTCGTGAACTGCTCATCACACTTTGGCAGAAAGCAAAGACGTCTTTAATGTGTCTTTCATGCCATTTAGGAATGGTTACCGAAACTTCTTTCTATCTTTATGTACTCATTCATTCGTCCTGGATTTGTTTTTAAAACGTCATATTTTCGTCCATTGGTACCCGTGAAGCCATCCGTTGTTTTTATTTTTCAAGCAATCGTCACCTCTTATGTTTTGCCCCCCATGCGATGCAAAGTTGACTCCTACCAAACTCATACTGTACATTTCAACGTTTTCTGCAATTGAAATAAGAGCGACAAAAGCACATCCATGAGGAACTTGCTGGGTTAACCAGTGTAACGACGGTCTGGGTGGCGATAGTTTGTGTTCGTGTGAGGTGGGTATCTTCGTGTATCTTTTTAAGGCTGGAAACAGAAAGAAGGAGTGTAAATATATAACATTATCCTTGTTGGGTTTTCGTTACTATTGTTATAAACCTCACCAGTTACATACAATTCTTTTTCCAGATTTTAATGAGCATGTTCTCTTTTGTTTCATTCATTGAAATTATTCCTTCCGTGGATGTATCACTGGTGTAATCCGACCTAAATATTTGTGGGCTTCTTTGAATTCATCGTCAAACAACCTTTCAAAGTAGAGACAAGCATATAAAGTGGACGAATGATTGTAACTACCATCCTGTATTCTTCTAATCTGTCCTGACACTGGGCATTCATATCAAGTAAACTGTAAAACAAGCCGCCAGCAGCAAGACGTTAACCTCTCAGATTAGCAGTGAGCGTTAACCTCTTTCTGCTTTGACAGCCCTTTCTTCTGCTGGATCCACTTTGAAGGGATCAGCTGAACCTTTACACTCGGAGCATCCTTTGCTGAACTGAAATTTAAAATCACCATCATCGTTATCATCATCATCGTCATCATGTTTCTCTTTACCTCGTCATTTGTCACAATTGTATCAAGGAGGCACCCTCGTTTACAAGGAATCCATGGTAGAAAGCACAAACGTACGCCTTCACTGGCAGATGTCGTGCTGTTGCCATTACAAAACTTAAAGTAATTAGCGTTTTCATTTTCGCTGTTATAAGTTTCCTGGTTAATATTACCTGAGCCTTGGCCATGCCCCTATGGCTGCGGTATGGCGTCATGCTTTTAGTGTTCAGTGGAGTCATCGGGTTGATTCCAGGTTGTATGTTGTGTATCCTGCTCGGTAACTAATTTGTCATACTTGAAATATCCCATGAGACCCGAACCCTTGAGCTGCTGTCTTTCTCTTGCTGATTCCACATCCTGCATTCTTAAATGACGTTCATGCCTTAAGTGCCTCTGGTGTGTTGACAGTGTCCTTGACCTCGGCGATCAGTGGGCGTGGTCGATCCGAACCTGGACGTGTGAAGAGCACGAATAATGTCAGATGTTTACCCCCTGTTAATCTTGACAAATTCAAGCATCAAGTTGATGACACTCTGTGTGCACATCACATGATCCTCATCACGTCAACAGACACTTCTCAGAACACATGGACTGATGAAACGAACACTTTCTATAACCCATTGACTCATGAAACGAACACTTCCCAGAACACATGGACTGATGAAACGAATACTTCCCGGAACACATGGCCTGATGTAACGAACACTTCCAGAACACATGGACTGATGAAACGAACACTTCCCAGAACGCATGGCCTTATGAAACGAACACTTCCAGAACACATGGCCTGATGTAACGAACACTTTCCAGAACACATGGCCTGATGTAACGAACACACCTGCGTCTGCAGACACTAGTTCTGCTGTCTGCTCGGGGAAGAAGGAAACGTGACTCTTTGGTGAGAACTCTTCTCTACTCAGTTACTTCCCTTTGTCATTGTTGTCTGCTCCACTGGAGATAACAACGTCGATGTCAACATTGGTAGCCGGGATGGACATCTTGCACTGACGCCATACACGTTTAGACGTCATCAATGTGAACATTGCTGACAAGTTTTCTCGAATATGGCATGCTTCTTGGGATCCATCTTACAGGACTTGGGTGGTCGTCGTGCAATGATGTAACTCAAATTGTTTCCTTGTATACTTGACTCCATGACATGAAGAATAGACATGGTTCGCACTTGGATACAGATTAGACAGTTATGCTTCTTATCTACTCCATGAAGCATTGTGAAAACAGATGTCCGACTTCTTGAGTTGCCTATACAAAATGCACAGTTAAGTCTCGCCATACTCACACAAGCTAGTGAGTCACATTAAATACGCGTTTCTGTTCAGATACACCACTGACTATATTTTTGTAATATTGTGATGTGCACCTGTCATTGCCATTACATGGTTTCTCTGAAGGTCATGCATGTGCATGTGAACTGTTTGTCTTCGTTCTTTTACAACTGGGGCGGTGTGGTAGCCCAGTGGTTAAAGCGTTCACTCGGTGGATAAAGTGTCTCAAGCCTATTTCTCGCGTTTCCCGCCGTGATATTGCTGCAATATTTCTAACGGCGGCGTAAAACCCAACTCAGTAACTAACTTACTCTTCTTCAGCTGATCAAATTAGTTTAATTTTACATGGGTTGGGGCGGGTACCACCGTTGGAGCAGGATATGCTCACCTTTTTACGAACACCTGGTGTCCCCACTATTTGATTCAGAAATATATGCTCGTGATATATGCGGATGTGTTCAACTGCGTGCAATCAAAGTTTGTTCGAATAAAGAAACTGTTTTGCCATATTTGTAAAAATTATGTCATGAAAGAAGAAGGACACGTTTCACGCGCGATACGTGACATCAAATTTCATGCAAAGTGCTTAGCTACGTGTTAATTTAGAGTTAGTTTTCATTACTTTTCAAATAACTTTATCTCATGCAATTTTATGTGATGCACAGTTACTTTTTTCCGTTAGTTTATATTACATTTATTGCGTGCTGCTTTTTTTAGAGAACAGAATGAATGTTATAAAACGTAAAAGCGTTCCCTCCTCACGCCGAAGACCCGGGTTTGATTCCCCACATACAACGTATGAAGCCCATTTCCGGTGTCCCCCGCAGTGATATTGCTCGAATATTGCTATTAAACCAAAGTCACTCACTCTTTCCGGTTTACCACTTTCACATGGCTTCCTCATACAATCAGCAGTGAATAAAACAATATGTGCAAATTTGCTAACAGCGAGATTCAAATCAGGATATATGAGCATTGACAAATCTGTGAGTAACTGACATGACTTAGATAATTGGTTTAGGAATGTTTCAGACATGAAGCAGTTCCATCTATATGTATACCTCTTGGGTTTGTTAGAGTCAGAAGGAATCTTGTCATTATCAGCTGATTTCATAAAATGAAGACAAACTGGCATATGTTTCGATTCTACTCTGGAATAACTGGTGCATATTGACAGAAGCAATAAAATAATCTACAACACTGCAACCTTGCTGAGTTATATATGTAAAGTTACCGTAACTATCTCCAGTTGCTCTCCCGTTGAAAGTGTATACATTATGGGTAAAACACAGGTCAAGCAACCGCTCACCAAATTTATATTGGTGGTCTTGTCACATGACTGCCTATTGTCTATATGCGGACAGTCTGTTCTTCAGGAAAGGCCGCTGTGTCTAGTCAAGGTTTATGCAGTGTCTCTGGCCGGTTGTTGCACTCGCCTACACGTGTGTTCAAGTCTCCACATATCAACACATCACAGAAGAGATCAGTGTTGTCGCTCAGACAGTGGTCCAGCTAATCTATAGCTGTGGTTTTCTTAGCTGTAATATAAAATGTGGAGCCAACCCGATGGAGTATACATTCAAAATAAAAATACATCTTTATCGTTGTTTAGAATAAATTTGTCTATCTTTAGGCAAGGGCATTATGTATACTGGTCTCTATTTGTTGACAGTAGTCTGCAATTGAGTTGTGCACAAGCAGTATAACTCCACCCGAGACTCTACCAGCCTTGGCAATCTTATAAGCTTTTGCTAGTATATCTCATACGCATTTAGTTGGGTAAGTGCTCTAACCTTATCTAGTTTGAAAGGGATTCGATAAAATCAGTGTCATCGATTTTGGATATAGATCCTTCGATGTTCTGTGCGTGACATATGGACCAGGCCCTAGCTGCCATCCTCCATAGCAGAGCTGCACCCGGGGTTGGGCGTTGACTCCGCGGCTAACTGCTGTCTCCCGGGGGTTGGGGTTGATGTGGACCCCGGGGTCAGACCTGTAGAGGCGCCGTGTGGGGAGATGACGTCAGTGTCTGTGCTTTGTTCAGAGCAGGACCTCTAGACACATAATCTTCGTCATGTTTATTTCTTTAATAGGCCAACAGCCAACATGAAAAATACATTATACATACTTTCAAAAGCGCGTTGCCAACATTTGCCTCACCACTCAACCCCCTTACAAAGACCTTTCGTGACAAAAGATAGCACTAAAAAGAAGATAAACATTCATGGATAATTCAGATTATAGTTTTACTTTACCTGAAATATATGATAAACGAATTTGGCTAAGTTGAAGGTTAATACTTCAACTTTGGTTTGTAAAAGATTTATAAACTTCATCATGTTTGGAGACTTGTATACGTCCAGAGGTAAGTGGCGACGCCTACACAGGCTTGGCTTAAAGGAATCTGAAAGATGTTTCGCTGCCTTGCACTGAGAGGGATGATTTGTCTTGTTTCCAGTCTACCGTTCTTGTAGGCACCGAGTCCTTTACTGCGAAGGTCAGCCAGAGTGTCTCTCTGTGAGATCGTTAGCTACGCCTATCCCGCTACTTCTCAACGTGTCTCTCTGTTAGATCGTTAGCCACGCCTATCTCACTACTTCTCAACGTGTCTCGATGTTGAGTACTGAGGTCTTCTCATCAGTGAGATTAAACTTGGCTATAAGTGGGCGTGGTTTATCGGGTCTGGAGTTTGTACCTATACCATGCGCCCTTAAAGTACCGCCTCTATTCCACTCCTTAATGTTCACATGTTGATTCAAAACTGAGACGATGTAATCCTCACACGACTCAAACGATTCATTCTGTTGTTCAGGTAGACCATAGAAGTCTCGTGAACGCCTCTAGTCTATCTGTCTCTGACCCGGGAGCTGACACTATTTTGTCTACATTAACGGTAACTTGCTCAAGCCTGATTCTATCGACTTCATTACGCATATCGCTGGACGTTTCTAATGTGGTGCAGTTTGGTAACACGAGCAGCAGTTTCGCTCGCGCAGATTGTATAGGATACACTTCACTGTAGATGTATAATTAAAGTACTTGTTATGTACTTCAGTATAGACGTCAGCTGTTATTGTGAAACTTTAGGTGACCGATATCATCGATAGATATTTCTACATCACAGAACATTTCATTGAACATTTCATTCCGGGTTAAAGAATCCTGGTTGAAGATCCGGGTTAGAATTGATCCTCAGTAGCCCGTGTATGTCGTAAGAGGCGACTAAATGGCTAGCTATTCTCGAAACTTCTTAAGCCCATTCTAAACACACTGGCTACGATCAAAGTTAAGAATTCTTAGGGCTACGAACGTTTCGAGAATAGTGATCCAAATGTAAAACTCATACACAGCCATCATACACAGCCATTCACAACCTCCTCCAGCCTGTATGAACTAATAGTGATATCGAGTGATCCGTAGTTAAATACGCATGTATCTGGGCAAATGTGTGCAGTTACATTAGGATTTGCACACTCCGGCACAGCGATGACTTAACATAACATCACTGCCACAGGCTAATTTGCATATCACGTGACCGGACTTGTCTCTTGTTTGTAATCAAACGCGCATATTCATAATCAGAAGAGACTGGACTCACGACAGCTTTTCGGCGCTCTCTTCATAATGTTTTACATTGTTACATACATATTCTTCCACAACTGCGACAGTAAGGTCTATGACAGTACATATTTAGATATCCAACTGGCTGCATCGTTTGCTCTCCATCAGCTTCGATGACAGCACGTGGAGCCGTACAGTACAACCTATGTAAACAAAGGATTGCCACGCAAATCGAAATAGTGTTACATGTTTTAGGATATTTTCTCAGTGAAACTAAACCATTCTACCAAAGATGTTTAGTTAGATGTGTAGACTCGTCAAAAATAAAAGAGTAAAAGAAATCTGTACATTATATTAAATGGACATTGCAAGATGTGACGAATCGTCACATTTGTCTGGCCTGTGGCAGACGTACTATGCTGGCTTGCCGCATGGAACTCTGGGTAGGAGAGTGTAGGATTTGGTAAATGATCACACTATTCTCGAATCCAGGAAACTGTATAAACTATCATAAGAAAAATGTGCTGATGAGATCAAAAGTAAAGATATACTGATTATGAGGAACACCAAAATCCCAGGCGAGAATTATATCCATTTACAGCAAATTGGTGATGTCAGTTCCTTTTGCTGAGAACAAAATTATCAGACACATTTTACTGGTCTTATACCAGGTGATCTGCAACCATCCGCTCATTCTCCTGCACAGGCTCAAACTGTGTCTATGATGGGTCACGTGGAGGTAATTTAGTGAAACGGGATACAAATCCCATTATCAGGCAGTCACTGGCAACATTTACTGTGGTGCCAAAACGATTCCTGGAAAAGTAATTAAAAAGCTGTACAACAAACATAATTTGTTGAAAACAGTTAGGAGGAAAGACGTTGCTTACCGGTATTCTATATTGGGGATCTGATTAAGAGGAAGAACAAAAAATCCCGGGAAAGAATTGTATCAGTTTATTGCACATTCGTGATGTCAGTTACTTTTGCTGAGAACAAAATGTTGATTATCAGACACATTTTACTGGTCTTATACCAGGTGATCTGCGACCATCCGGTCTTCCTCCTGCACAGGCTCAAACTGTGTCTCTGATGGGTCACGTGGAGGTAATTTGGTGAAACGGGAGACAACTCCCATTACCAAGCAATCACTGGCCACGTTCACTGCCGTGCCGAAACGATCCCTGAAAGATAATGATAATCAATAACAGATATGTTATGTTTTAACTCAGAGCTCGTCTTGTCATAATTGAGCATGTTTTATATAATTGTATTAATCTAGTTGTCTTTTTCAAAAACGTTTTTTCTGGAGAAAATCAGCAACAAAAAATCACAAAGTCTACAAGGGTTAATCATGAAACAAATGCTTGTGACATTTCGTAACAGAGAATATATGTTCTCATTAGGACTAGCGTTTTCTCGTTATTTCAGTAGTCAAATGTTCTCGTCACTATATGGCTGCAATATTGCCGATGTGACGTTATATAAAAACTCACTCACTCACTCGTTATTTCAGTAGAACAATTTATGTAAACTTACAACAACCAGTTAACTGAGACCAACAATGAGGTGCCTCCAACTGGGAGACCAATCGACCGGAGGACAAGAAGCAGCATGGCCAGATCAGACCCAGGTATGCTGGCGGTTCCTATACTGCTCAGGAAAGCTGTCAAACTTAAAAACATTAAAACATTTTGTGACTCTTTAGATAGATGATGGTACAAATGATTCATTCATTGTTTTACATACATTTACCAAATTGACATCACCAAGAGCTGTTTTATGGCCTTAAACACCTTAACACCAAGAGCAGTTTTATGGCCTTATACACCTAAGTAGACTTCAGGATTATTTGGAATGGAGAAGAACTCGACAGGAAACAGAGGTCAAACAGTATACACTAACCTTACGTTTAACTTTAGTTCTAGTGACAATATCTGTTTAACTTTAGTTCTAGTGACAATATACGTTTAACTTTAGTTCTAGTGACCATATACGTTTAACTTTAGTTCTAGTGACCATATACGTTTATCTTTAGTTCTAGTGACAATATACGATTAACTTTAGTTCTAGTGACAATATACATTTAACTTTAGTTCTAGTGACAATATACGTTTAGCTTTAGTTCTAGTGACAATATACGTTTAACTTTAGTTCTATTGACAACATACGCTTAACTTTAGTTGTAGTGACAATACACGATTAACTTTAGTTCTAGTGACAATATACGATTAACTTTAGTTCTAGTGACAATATACATTTAACTTTAGTTCTAGTGACAATATACGTTTAACTTTAGTTCTAGTGACAATATACGTTTAACCTTTAGTTCTAGTGACAATATACGTTTAACTTTAGTTCTAGTGACCATATACGTTCAACTTTAGTTCTAGTGAAAATATACGTTTAACTTTAGCTCTAGTGACCATATACGATTAACTTTTGTTCTAGTGACCATATGCGTTTAACTTTAGTTTTAGTGACAATATACGTTTAACTTTAGTTTTAGTGACAATATACGTTTAACTTTAGTTCTAGTGACAATATACGTTTAACTTTAGTTCTAGTGACAATATACATTTAACTTTTGTTCTAGTGACAATATACGATTAACTTTAGTTCTAGTGACAATATACGTTTAACTTTAGTTCTAGTGACAATATACGTTTAACCTTTAGTTGTAGTGACAATATACGTTTAACTTTAGGTCTAGTGACAATATACGTTTAACTTTAGTTCTAGTGACAATATACGTTTAACTTTAGCTCCAGTGACCATATACGATTAACTTTAGTTCTAGTGACCATATACGTTTAACTTTAGTTTTAGTGACAATATACGTTTAACTTTAGTTTTAGTGACAATATACGTTTAACTTTAGTTCTAGTGACAATATACGTTTAACTTTAGTTCTAGTGACAATATACGTTTAACTTTAGTTCTAGTGACCATGAAATGGTCTGAAAGATTGAGCACGGATGAATTAAGCAGAGATTGCCTTCGGTTGTGGATTAGGGTTTTGTCAATCTAATGCAGACGTAAGCCAAATGTGTTGCTGCAGAAAGTTATATCCTCTCACTCTCCCTCTCTAACCATGTTATGAAGAAGTCTCCAAATGACAGGGTTATTCCATTGTACTGAGCTGTGAACACAACGCCGACGACGGCATACACAGCTCCACCATCCATGTTTACAGTTGCACCCACTGGGAGGATGACCCTTGAGATCCTCTTGTCCATGTGCAGCCTCTCCTCAACACACCGCATTGTCACAGGTAGAGTAGCAGCACTACAAGCAAACACACAGTTGAATGCACAAACTTATCAACTGTTTGGGCACACCACAAGTATATTTCTGGAGCTGTTCGATAGGCATTCCGTGGATGTTGAAAGATGACAATTGGGACACTTTGTGGGGATAACATTTATGTATCACAGAATATGTTGATATTAACATTGTGACAGGCAGAGTAGCAGCACTAGAAACAAACATTGTAAGGAGATGCACAAACTCAGATCCAGTTTATAGACATATCAACCGCTTGGGCACACGACACGTAGGTGGAAAAGTATATTGTTTTAGCTGTTCGATGGCATTCCGTGGATATTGAAAGATGACGATGTGGACACTTTTTTGAGGATAACAATTTCCTTTATATATCACAGTAGACTATGTTGATATTAACAGAAATGAGATTTTTAAATACACAATTTATTTATTGCAAGGGATGCGACGTTTTGTTGTAGATGCTGACACCGTTATCAAGCAAGTGCTAGCATCTACACCGAAAACGTCGCATCCATTGCAAGAAAGAAGTTGTCTATCCAGAAATATTCGTTTCTGTTCATCATACCAGCTTCTAAATGCCACTCAAAGAAGTTGTGTTAAGATTGGATGCTTATAACGAACTGCCGGTTGAAAAGAACTCGTTTTTCCCTGGCCACAATATATGTGTTGTATTCATTATGTGTATAACGAGCTACCATCGGTGTCCCGATGAGTACGTTGTGACCGTGTTTTACAGTATTTCGGTATAGATCCAATGGAGACAAAGTGTGGTACAGAACTATGTATGGTAGTTCAATCATGTAAGAAGTCTTAAATAGATTGTTGTCCTAAAGGGTTTATACAAGCAAACACCGCAAGGTGATCCAGATTAAAGACGTTTCATCCGCTTTGAGCCACATCAAGTATGTTGACACATGCCCGATTACATATTTTAAGTTGTTCTGTGGGCATTCCGTAGAAGTTAAAGTATGACGATGCGGGCACTTTTCTAGGGTTAACATTATACATTGCATTGTTTATATCAGACGCTTATGACGAACTGACTGATGAAACGAAATGTTTGAGGTTTTTTGTTTGTTTGTTTTTTCCTGACCATTGCTTTATGTTTTAGTCATATTGTGTATAACAAACAATAGTTAGAACAAACTAAACTTAGTGGTCCTCTTTAGATTGTTTCAACCGTAGTTTAATCTATGTTGGTACAGACTGGGCAAACTGAGTGTGGTAGGTGAACCCCACATAGCATTCGGACGTTGGCCCAACGTCTGAATGCTATCTGGGACCATGTAAGAAAGTATTAAATACATTTTTGTCCCTTAAGTGTTTAGACTTTGACGATTTCTCACTTTCTAACAGTGGAAAGGTGGTTGTTCTCTTTCCTTACCTTACCCCTAGTTGCTTGATGTGAATATTTCTAACTCTTATCGAGTGTTAGTTTATATGTTTGGTCAACACACTGATGTGTACGCGGTGGGGAAGCCGAGTGGTCAAAGCATGTCACCCCGAAGTCAGCACTACTGCTGAAAGCGGCGTAAAACTACACTCCCTCACTCTCTTACTCTAGTGCTATTTTCTTTGAAAGTGTATACATCGTATAATGTTTGTATTAACATTACCTTCTGTCAGAAAATAAGGAATTATTTCTGATAACAGGTGTTTCCCAGTTTCCCAGCTTACTATATTTATCATGAATTTTCTTCTCTATGCTGCGTGTAATTGGTCATATTCATAATGGGGATACACAATACATGTATTTCTCATCAAGTGGCAAAGACTGCGTGAGTTTAGTTTTACGCCGCTTTTAGCAATATTCCAGCAATATCAGGGCGGGGGACACCAGAAATCACTGGGCTTCACACAGTGTACCCATGTGGGGAATCGAACCCGGGTCTTCAGCGTGACGAGTGAACGCTCAAACCACTAGGTTACCCATCGCCTCAAGTGGCAAAATGATATCTCGATGTGAAACTCTGGCGTGAATAATAATTCTATCAAAATTTTAAGAGCTAGGAAATGTTAACCTAGAGCTTGTGGCAAAGGCTGTGAGCAGAGCAGGCAGTGATCGGAGGTATATCACATATGGGTTCTGGCTGGTCAGGATGAAGTACATGGCGGGAAGGACCACCACACTGTGGACTGCGAGTCCGCACAACACTGAAGCCACGTAGACCGCAACTGTCTGTCCAGTCTCCATAATGTCAGCTGTGGACATTATCTGGCCCATGATGAGGGACATTACTCCAAGTGGAGAGTACCTTAGAACAATGCAGCAGATGGTAAATCCAAGGTACTGATTCCGTCATGGCATTAAACAAATCAAAGCAACAAAAACAACGCATATCCTTGGTACAATAATAATTTCCGACCGAACTGTCAGGAATCGATTGCGTGAGTGGGGATTGGATCAAGAAGGCCTGTTGTCAACCCTATTTTGAGATCGTTTGCGGTGGTGTCGTAGAGTCCGGAACTGGAACCTTAGAAACTACAGACCCCTACCAATCCTGTCAAGAATTCCAAAGTCATCAAGTAATCACTGCATATATGGAAAATGTTTTTGAATTATTAATCGCTGTGTTGGAGCGGATATCTTACCGCCATGTTCATATATGTTTTGTACGTAGGCCATTGATCTTTTACTTCAATTATTGAACGGTTCACAGCCTAAACCCAACTCACCACATGACAAGTTTGATCATGCAGATGGTGACGGTGTTGATCTGTGAGAAGAACTGTATCAGTGCAGCTCCACGCTGACCAAGTTTATTGAGAGTCACACCAAACACAATGCAGTAGGTGAGTACACCTGTCAGAAGAGAATCGTGAGTCAGCGAATGTCGAATAACTCTACAGTCATCAGTGTGACGCTAGCATCACAATAAATCAAAATACTAAACCATATTGTAAGGTTATTGAATGTCGATAGGCACGGTAAACAAAAAGCATCATTTGATATCGTTTGGTATGAAGCATCAGGACACTTCTCGTGAGTTTAGCCATTTTCTTGACAACAAAAAAATTTAGGAAGACAGTAAGATTTGAGGCCCGATTAATTTAGTTCCAGTCGATATACAGACAGTGAACGTATCTAACAGCATTTCTAAGTGAATGAACTTTTGTTTATGACATGTTGTCATGAACAAGCATTCCTCGCCTATTATAGACGCAACCCAAACACCTTTCTGGTGCATACAGTTGGCACGCGTACCTATGACGTTTTCACCATCAACCAAAACTGTCCTCTTTGTCGAATTAGGATGGTGAATGTTGTTTACTTCCATGGAACCATTTATCCTTTCATCAGCACTGGAGTTGACGCCGTGCACTCCTTCATCTTCCGCGGCTACCGACACAGTGGTTGAATGCTGAACTGTTGCTGCGACAATGTTGTCAGGTATTAAGTTCCTGGATAATAGAAGATTTTATCACATGGACGACTGGAGTACTTGATTCAGATGACATTCAGTTTGAAGAATAAGTTTGTACATGGAAGGCTAAAAGTATGGCAAGACAGAATGTATTCCTGGATAAAAGAACTAGTTTACTATGTAGCTATAGGCGAATGAATATGTTATGCAAATAGGAAGACAAACAACCTGTCAAAAGACCCCCTTGCAGTCAAATAATACCACCCGACAAACAACAGGTATGATAAACTAAACATTCTTTTCTGCTATGTTTAATCGCATTTAATAATGGGCCAATAATTTAATAATGGAAAATAAAACATTTGTTAATCATATGAAGGATGGATTACTTGTTTGGATGAAAGGGAAAAGTTTGAACATGGAAGTAAAAATAAGGACAGTTCAAGTTTACCATGTGGACGAAAGGAGTGCTAGATTCACTTAGCATTGAATTTGTTAAAAGTTATGCAAAAGGGTAGACAAAGGAGACGCTTAAGACACTCTCTCAAAAAGTCAAAGGATACTATTTGTCAAACAGCATATGTGATAAACAGTTACGGCGCTTTTTTACATTATTCCTGTCAATTTTAATCGAGTTTTTGTGCCATGTTTAATCGTGTACTTATGTTGCATCAAACGGGCCAGTGATTAAGTAATACTACAGGTGTTAAAACGAATATTTACTTGTGCACGGATTATCTATTGCAACGTTTACCACTTGTCTTACCGGAACAAATCTAGTATGGAATCCATTCCGGACACAATGCCACTATTTTGTGAAACATAGGTTGCTGTCGAGTCTGTGTATGACCCAGGTTTGATGATCACGACCACCGCTAAGCCAACAAGTGTTGCCAGAATAGAGGTACTTGCATAGCAAACCATGGACAGTGCCCCTATCTTGCCTGCAGAAGATCCACTACCACTGCTTAGACCTGAGCATTGTAAAACACATTTCAAAGAATTCGTTACTTGAAAAGTACAGTTATTATTTAGAGTTTCTGCATTATCCGCATACCACCTCCTTATGGTGATACATGTTGAGATTTATTGGTGAAATGACATCGAGTGGTTGAAATATTAAAATAAGATTTATAGTCATCGCCGTGCTTTTTTTCGGCCATATAGCGACGAGACCACCTTTATACATGCACACAAGTTCATCATTAATTCAAGTCACCTTTAAAACAAACGCATAATGAATATTATCGCTTGGCATTATTATTCAAAATAGTTAATGAAACGGGCTGTTAACCTGACACAAACCAGGCTGGTCCACATCCCTGCGTAACATGAGGACTTACACTAATAGTCCTAGGTCAAATGTTCGAAAAGTCCCTATCTTTTAGGATCTCTCAGCAGCAGTAAAAGCGTTATCCAGTAATGGTATGACAACTCCCACCCTCCAGAGATTCTTGTCAATGTGGAACTAGACACAGAATGTATCAGGTTGCTGAAAACAAACAAGGTTTACCCCACTGTTGAAACAGTGTCCACATGTTCATAGACCAACTTCATGAGTATTAACCGCATGGTTTAATGAACGGTGACAAGCACTGGTGTTCAACATGATCAAGATATGCAGGTGTATCATATTACCTGGTGTATCATGTTACCTGATAATGATGTTATCTCTACATTTGGCCTAGGAGTACTAATTTTCCTTTTTGCATGATACCGCAGGACGATTTACGTCATCACTTTAGCCCCTGGCGGCTGGTTGCAATACTGGCCAAGAAGATTCGACGTAACACATTGGCTGATAATACTAATATTGATTGTAAGCATTACGTCTTAGGTGAAATCCTTAATGTTACCTGTTATGATGCTGGATATTATCAGAGGAAGCATCAACATTCTCAGCATTCTAAGGTAGAGCTCCCCTGGAAACTGTGCAAGCTGAACAGTGTCTGAAGATGGCTCGAATAGCCGACACACCATCCCGGCAATAATTCCAAAGATGATTGCCAACATGGTGACAATGAGAAGGAGATTCTGTTGGAGGAACTGAAGCACCTTCATCTACAGAAAGGAAAAGAAGTCTGGACGCGGAGAAACTGGAGTACTGATAACCTATCATGCACAGTTATCTTGTCTATTCACATATTTCTTTTGAGTCTGATATTTGTGATTCAATAATAAGATTGTATCTGACTGGATTGTGGACAATGAACAGTAACAAAACAACTGACACAACAATTCATGCAAGTTTAACTGCATTCAGTTTAAAGTTGTATCACACTTAAAATATTGTTTGTTCCATATTAATATAGAATGCATCGAAACGAGTATGTCGTGCTCATTCTGTCCCAACGAGTAAACCTTTCGGGTTAAAATTGGACTTCAGCAACCAGTGATTGTCTTAAGAGGTGACTATTGGGATCAGACTCGCTGACTTCGTTGACACCTGTCATGGTATCCAAATGCTTCGATCAGCGTTCTAGATTGTCCCGTTAAGACGTAATAATTTACAGATGTTATGAGGCGTGAAGTTGCTGAGTACGACGTTAAGAAAACAACAAAACGGGTCTCTCTTTTTTCATAAACTGCTTTCAATGGTGACAGAAATTACGTATGCGCAAAGAACTTTTCAAGTAAGTTTATGTTATAATCTCATATAACATCATGAAATGTTAAAACTGCTGTCGCGTTTATTAAGTAGAAATTCATTTTATTCAACAAACCTAGTCAAAATAAATTACTGTTTGAACTCCTGAATAATTTTTTTTTGTAATTTAACTGACACACTTACTCATAAATAATGCTAAATTTGCGTTAGCCCCAAAAAAATTAATAGAATATGTTAATGACAGTACTGATCTGGATACAACATTGATGTGGCACATGCTGGACATTAATTACGGCACAACAGTCTGTACAGGTTACTTCGTGCATGTTCACTGAAATATAATTAATTTATACCACATGCGTACTCTTACATACATTCAATTATTTATTGACATAGAGAATACTAAACGACCTTCCGTGTAACACCATTTTTAGCAAACTAGCTAATGCGCGAAAGCGAGTTGGATACTAAATATTATTTTTTTTTTAATAGTTTTAAAAGAAGCGAGCTAAGTATTTTGTTTATTACTCTCCAACATAAATTGATAGAAACTGCCTGCAGTGTGATGACTCTCAGCTTTCCACGGGTCATGTAATGTCTGATACCTTTGTGACAGAGGTATCATTATTGTTACGTCATAACTGTAAACCATTATGACGTCATACGTCTACCGATATTACACTAGTGTAATATTGCCATAAACATATTACACTGTCGTATCTTCCACATGCGAGTACTCAATGAGTTTATTACCCATATGGTGTAACATAACCACCATCATCTATATCATGTGTGCACATACCACTTTTGCATAGCAACCATTGTTTCTGTATTTCCTCGTCTGTGACGTCATTATACAATTGAACGTGACGTCAGTGAAGAGGGCAGTCTCACTTGCCTGCCGTGTTTTACTGCACAAATGTACATGAATAAAATAGACAATAACGAAATTATTACACTCGCAAGGGTGCCACACGACTTATACGAAACTCGTGTAAAATTTCACAATCGTTTTGTATAAGTCGTATGGCACACTTGCTTGGGTAATAATCTCTATTTAACTTATACAATATACGAGTAATTCATGAGTTAATATAAAAGTGAGGGTGTCCTGACCCTTTTAAATATGATTGCCATTTAATCGATGTGTAACAAAGTGATTAACATGAAAATAACAAATATTGACTCTATTATTCAGCTGTTTCATGCAGCAGAAAAGATGGCTCACAACACATCTTTGTTTACCAACTAACAAGGTGACTCGAGGTGAGATGAGGTGAAATTGGGTTTAACGTCGTGCTTGAGAATATTTCGCTCATATGACGACGTGCATGCGTGTGTATGTGTATGTGCGGCTGCTTGTACTAGGCTAAAATTGATCTGCAGCAACCCAAGCTTGTCTTAAGAGGCGACTAACGGGTACCAGACCCGTGAAGGTCTGGGTTACAATTGATCTTCAGCAACCCAAGCTTGTCTTAAGAGGCGACTAACGGGTACCAGACCCATGAGGTCCGGGTTAGAATAGATCTTCAGCAACCTAAGCTTGTCTTAAGAGGCGACTAAAGGGATGGGGCAGTCAGACTCCCTGACTTGGTTGACACATGTCTTCGTAACCAAATTGCGTAGGTCGATGCACTTTGTAGTGATCACTGGATTGTCTAGTCCAGACTCGATTATTTACAGACCGCCGCCAGGAAGCTGTTCTTGAAGCTTCCTGGCTCCAACTCATCTCAATACAGGAACTGTCACAGCACTGCACTTTACAGAATCTTCACAGACACAATGTAATGCACTTAAAACGCAGTAATTCAATATATGTTACTTCTATGTCACAGAACACAAATGAGCTACTTTGGCTACGCTCATAAAATACTTGCTCTGATATCTATTCAATATATAAAAGCGACAAAACCCTTTCCACATCCATAAGAAATATCTGCTTAAAGCAGAGTAGATTGTACAACTGTCACTGCATCATAAGCATATATTTGTTTATGAACCACTATCAAATAGTGATGATACCATGCGTTCACTAACAGGGGAGCGTATCCTGCCCCACCGGTGGCACCCGTCACAAACATATTCTAAGTCTAGTCATTTGTTCACCTGAAATAATTCGGGAACGTATGGTATAAGTAAAAATAGGGAATTACATCGGACATCATTTTTGTCACTGATGCATCAAATTTCGAAATTTCCTCCACATGTCTATCACCAAACTTTATGAAAGTTTTATTGAGGCTTTGAATTTTGTGGCCTTGATCAAACAGCTTCTGAGCTAGAGTGGGGTGACGCTCTTGGAAATCCTGAGAAAAAGAGCACGCGCTATTGTACCTCAAAAGTTGTGACATGTAAACACCAAAGGCTGGAGCTGTTGGAGTATAGCTCGACATGAAAGGGAAGTTGACTATTGGAAAGTTGAAATCATCCCTTTTGTGATACAGCTTTATGGAGATTTTTTGTCCCTCTGCATCTTAATGAATAGACCTTAACAGTTGAGGCGGTCTCACTTGTCTCTTCGATTTCAAGTTCAGGTGGGTAAATCAGTGGAAGGCTATTGGCTATTCTACCATGGCTACGTGAAATGCTCGAATTTTATTGGTCAATCAATAAAATCAGACGGTGTCAATTTTGGATTGACAATGCGTCTGATTTCACGGCACTTCACTGCGCACGTATAAAACACTGCCGCACTACTTCAGCTTGGCCACCAACATGACTAAATAAATAAATATCAACGCAACAGACGTGATGAAGATGCTGATAAAACATTTATTAAAACTCGAAAAATACAAAATTATACAATTTCTCCTCAACAATTATTATCGAACCTATCATAATTATTACCTTCTATTATAAAAATATTCAAACTCAATTACAATACACAGCCCCAAACATAAACAAACAATATCTAACATATAAATCATATAACATTTACCTACCTGGTAAATCATTAATGGTATATTTGTTTCCATTTAGAATGGGAAATTCGCAAGATAACGGTCAGGCAAAACACAAAATGTATGCCACTCATACTCATGTCCCGTTGCATCGTTCAAAATGTCAAAAATTGCACCACGAGAATTCCGCTCTCTGCCACCTTCCCCGCAAGACTGTCACTGCTATGTTCGTACACTTTGAAAAAAGCTTGGCCACAATCCAGTCCTAAATAATGAGAACGATGTTCCAAGGACTCCCTAGCAGCACTGTCACTCTTTCGTCGCATGCCGGGTGGAGGCACGTACGTGAAATCATGATCGACAGTCGCCGGTCATAAAAATCAGTGTCTTTGAGTTTGATGAGTTACAGGTCGTAGGTCGATCAGAAAAGGATCTATTCTTCGATTCTGCAGGGTTCAGATTCGACAGTGAGTCAAGTATTTTCCAATGTCACTTCAAATTTCAACCTTTCGCAAAATGTAAACACTGGCTGGTCAGCCATTTCAAACTATTGCGTAACTGTCTACTTCCAAGAAAATAAGTAGGTCAGAGGATTCGATTATAGTGTGTCTCTAAATTAATCATTTGAAACCTCACGCTACGCGTTCGGCTTCAAATGAAATTTAGAGATTATCAATTCGGTCTAGCATTCATCTAATTTAAAAACAGAGTACGTTTATCTCCCTTTTTTATTGTTATTGAACGATAATAAATCATCGATGTACCGGAAGCTTAAATTAATCTTCTTGGCCAACTTATCTTGTTTTGATTTTGTCAAAGCAAGCAGAAATTCTGATTCAAATGCAAAAAGAAACAGATCCGGAGGAGGGGAGCACAATTGGTGCCCATTGGGATGCCTACTTCTTGTCGAAATGTTTTACCCCCAAATTTAACAAAGACGTTATCAATGAGAAATCCTGCAATTCAACATACAAACTTTATATCATGTTTGGTGTATTGCCATGGGGTTTCCCGTTTTACTTTGGTGAATGATTACAAAGGATATTCTGGTTTTATGCAAAGGATCTCCTCGAGTGTTTGTGTATTAAAGTGTAAGCTATATTCTTACTCCTTCGTCAAGTAAACAGTGTGTTTCTCGTGATAATGAAGTTTTCATACATAAATTTTCATTTCTTATGTGCATCACGTCTAAAGACGAAAGAAATCGTGATTGTTGAAAAAGAAATATAATCTAGAGAAGTTGTTGAGAAATAAAATACACAAGTATTTTAACGAACCTTTCAGTTTTGGAATGTATTTTACTAAAGCATTTAGCAGTCAAACTACCCAACCGCTTTAAAACACACATACTTTGAACGAAACTATGGTACTGCAATTCACATAGAAAGGACACTACAACACGCATCCTACCGCATAAGGTATGGTTTGTTATTAAATGGCAGTCAGTATTGGTAAACATACCCAGGTAATAATTTATATTTATCACGCCTTTTGGAAAAAAGTACATTTGTTTAACAATGATGCAATGTCGTATGGCTATTTGAGAAGACATTTTAAATGTATTAAACAAAGGGAAATGAACAAAGACATTGGCTATCGTGAACAAAGGAAAATGTTGACTGAAAAGCAAAATAATAAAATCTGGAATTCTTTGGACATGAAAAATAATGAATCTTACATTGAACCCAAACAACTGTGAAAACAAAACACATGAGAGAATCTATGACACTGTAATACACATGGATGGGAGTAAGACTACTCACCTTGAAAGCTGTCTGCCACTGTTTGCAATTTGCTTTTGTTGCTCCGGGTTAT